GATAACAGTTTGTGCCCTCTTTACATCCTTTCACTAAGGAGTATGTGGTACAGGGTAGCACGGTTAACTACTGAGGACTGAATTTGATGCTGAGCCCTCTGACAGAAGAGACAGTTGTCTGGATTTATGCTTTTTATTGTGTATGTATGTGTGAGGTATTTGTGTGTACACATTGGTCAGAGGCTGACATCTAGGGATTTTTAAAATCACGTCTCCACTCTTTAAAATTGTATTCATTTACTTTTATATCTATTTTGCCTGCATGAATGTCTGTGTATCACAGACATGTCTGGTTCCCCTGGAGGCCAGAAGAGGGCTTTAGATCCCTTGAGACTGGAGTTAAAGATGGTTGTGAGCTACCACAGGTATGCTGGGAACAAACTCAGGCCCTCTGGAAAAGCACTGAGTCCCTGTTTCAGCTAGCATGGCTGGCCAGTGACCTCAGGGGCACTCTGCAGTAGGTAGACAGCAGCACGCAGTCCGCTTTACATGGGTCCTAGGAATCTGAACTCAGGTTCTCACATTAATACATCAAGGACTTTCTCAGCAGGGCCAGCTCCCTAGCCCTATTTTAACTTTTTATATGAATTTTTAGTAGCATGGTCAGAGAAGATTCATATAAGACAGTACTATTAATGATTCTACAAAGTTATCTTAATACATTAAGATCTCTCTCCAAAAGAATTCAGTCATACTAAGAGAATCATAGCTGATGTTTAACATTTTTTGCTAATTTTATTGAAAGCCAAACTAAAATGTTAGGTGAATATAAGAATGACGTAACTAATATCTTAGTTATTTTCTTCTGGAAAGTCAAAAGGTAGTTTTGCATGACGTTTTTATCTTTATGGATATTACCATAAAGTAAATTAGAAACACTTTCAATTTGTACAAATAAAGTAGTGAGAGGAAACGCCTGAGTAAAAGCAGCTGTGACCTCAGAAGTGGGAGTGCTCTGAAGGCCAGTCAACTGTCTTCCCCAGGAGACAGACGAGTCTAAACCCAGCCAAGAACCCGTGACTCTGCACAGAAACAGAACATCTCCTACGCTTGCCCCTCCATACATGCTCCAATAGTTTTACAATGAATGCTGAAGCTTACCATAGGGGGATATTATTTTTTTGATGATGTATATACTTTTTCAATGTTTCTCAATGAAATTATATGAAAATTCCTATTCAATTTTTTGAAGAGGCAAATAAAAGTGGTATTTCAGAGATTTGGCTGCTGATATAATCTCCAGATCAGCAAGTTTAAAAATAAAGCACCTGATTATTATGAAGCATTAGAGAAAAGTAATGAAATAAAAGCACAAAACTCTTAGAAGAAAACTAAGGAAGACACCTGAGACCTTGGATCAACAAGGTCAGATCAGATTTTCTTAGCCATGAAAAACCTAAAAGCATGAGAAACAGCAGAACTTCACCAAAAACTGAAAAGTTTGGGCTTCAAATGACACCATCAAGGAAAAAAAGAAAAAAGAAAAAAGAAAGAAAATCCGGAGTAAAAGGTAATATTTTGCAACTCCTACTTTTGATAAGACTAGTATTTAGAATATATAAAGAATTTTCAAAGCAATAGAAAGACAATCTCACTTAAAAATGATCAAAGGGCTTGACAGGTAAAGTTGCTTGCTGCACAGTCCTAATGACCTGAGTTTGATCTCCAGAACCCACAGAAGCTAAGAGAGAAGAGACTCCACAAAGTTTTCTTCTAACCTCCACATACGCACTGTGGCATGTATGCCCGTCAACCACCACAGTCTCGTATGAATACACAAAGTAAAAATAATAGCTAACTAACTAAAAAGAACAAAGGCAGATGGGTATAATGGTATACACCTATAATCACACCTATAATCTTAGCACTTGGGAAGTAGAGGTAGAGTTCACAGTCATTCCTCAACTACAAAGCAGGGTTGGGGTTAGGGCCAAGGCCACTGGACTCAAAGCCTGCCTCTAAACATGTCCTCCCCCCATAACTAACTAAATAAACAAACAAAACCCAGAAACACACAAAAGCCAGTAATTTAAAGATATTTCTCAGAAGAAGATACTAAGCACATGGGAAGATTCTAGGCAGTGCCATTAGTCATCAGAGAAACGCAGATCAAAACTACATTGTGGCCATGGAGCAGGGCTGAGATGAAAATGACAGAGTCTAAGCACTGGCAAGCTGCTGACACCTTCATTTAGTATGAGTAGGAATACAGCGAAGATGCTTTGGGAAATACATCAACAATACTTCAAAACACCAAACAATCAGCATTCAATGGTACTCTTTAAATACCTACAGCAGAAAAAGGAACATAAATGATTACCATAAAAATTACGAATTATCACTCATTATTACATTCATAATAGCTTGAAGTGAATACAATCCAAATGTCTATCAGTGGGCAACAGCCATATCCTGGATCATACAAAGACCCTGTTGCTCTAGATGATCCACAGCAAGCATGAGCCTGGGATATCATGCAAGTGAAAAGACTCCATACAAAGACCTGTGTAGCATATCACCCTAATTTCTTACTATGTCCAGAACAGGCAAAAGCACAGACACAGAAATAAGTTAGTGGTTGGAGTAAGTAGGGAGTTGAGTCTGGGGTTTCCTCTTTGGGAGATGAAAATGTGAAATTGTTTAGTTTTGACAGCGGCATGAATTCGTGATGTTCTGAAAAACCCACTGAATAGTAGTACTGTTGTATGAGGGACACGTATGCTACTAGAAATAACAACTTAACAAAACTGTTGAATACTCAGGTGTGGTTAGTACAAGACCTTTAAGAAAGAACAAGACACTGTTCCCTACCACACACACACACACAAAGGCCCCCCAGCCCCATTTTATTTTTTACTCATATGACTTGATAAGAGTGATGAATCTTCTTGGGGAAGAACTTAAGCTTTGTACATGACTTACTTAAGCTTTGCAAATGAGTTACTTCAAAACAATTGTTATATTAAAATACAGTCAAAGAAGGTGACAGACTCCAAAGGTTAGAGAACTATTCTTATCTTTTATCAATTTATAACATCTTCTCATTCTGAATGAGAATAGAGGAAATTTTGACTGTTTGCCAAAAGTTATTTGAAATTTTATGACCTGGTAATTAAAATGCGCCTGAAAAAATTTCAAAGTACAGGATGCTGTTTGTTTTCTGAGAAAGGGTTTCTCTATGTAGTTCCAGCTGTTGTGGATCTCACTCTAGAACCCGGCTGGCCTCCAACTCATAGAGTGCGGATTAAAGGCACGGACCACCACTGCCTGGCCATGATGTTAGTTTTAAGATGCAAGTTTACTAAAATACATGCTGTTAATAAGGGATAATATGAGTGTGCAAACTCACAGGCGACAGGAAAAGGCAAGATTCCCCTGGAACTACAATTAGAGATGGTTATAAGCTTCCCCAATGAGTGCTGGCAACCTAACTCAGGACCTTGCTGCAAGAGTTAACTTCTAACTCCCAGAGCCACACATCTCATGCAGTCTATCCACTTTATTAATGTCTTTCTTCTCAACAAAAGTATTTTTATAAAATCCAGGCACTATGAATTTTCTAAAGATATGGTCACTGAACTTGAACAAGTGAGTTGTGGGGTCATTTCTAGGTGGGTGCTGAGGACACCTCTGTCTCCAGGTGTCCTAATACCCAACAACACCACTATTGTTGGGTGGAATACACCAGCAAGCTGATCAAGGCTGACAACACACAGAGCCCAACACAGGTCAAGCTTATCCTCCTGATACAGAAACCCAGACAATCTCATTCGGTTGCTTCCCCATGCAAAAGCTCTCAGTTTAGCATCCAAGGATAAATAGAAGCTGGAGTTCCGTGGCTGCAATGAAATCTGTAGTCTAGAGCCACCTCCCGGTGCATCAACTACTTGCTGGACTTCACCTGCACCTGCCTATAGGTTGACATAGGCAATTGCTTCTGGATTTGCTCGCCAGACAGCATCTGTAACCTATAGCAGGGCTTCAATGTATCCATCTAGGGCATTAGCATCTATGATGTCATTCTCTTTAGGGTGTGTGATACCAAAGGGCATGCTCCCAGATCCTAAGAACATGTATACTACATATGCAGGTGGTGACTGCTGCAGTCCAAGTTGTGCCCCACCCCTTCGACATTGTGCAGACACACACAATGCTGCAGTCTAGAAGGAAAGTAGCCGATATCATGTACAGGTAGGCTGTATTGCTGTAGGAATATCTTCAAGGACAAAGATGGAAAGGTTTTCTTCAAGGGGGCCTAATCCAGTGTTCTCTGTGGAAGAGGTAAGGGCTTCATGATGGTTATCTTCAATGAACTCTGTTGTACATCGCAAAGTGATGTTGCAAGAAATTACTGGGAGAGTCTCTTAACTGCTGCTGGTAACTGCCAATGCCTGATTAATCACCCCTCAGAAGAGGTGGAGAGAGGCTCATTCTTAAAATCATGTTGAACCAGTCTAGCCCACAAAAGGTCTCACCACAGCATCTCAGGTCCACAAGCCAGCAGGCAGACTTAGAATTCAGCTGCTCTTGGGGCTAGCCCTGTGTCTAAGCAGACGCTCACACATTCCTGTTTGTTATGAAGCACTTGGTCCTCTGTGGTGCTGCTAAAATTATAATTATGTTCTAGGGAAGGCACTTTGCTGGGAAACAATAAACCAGGACCCGGAAGGAGTTAAAAAAAAAAAAAGATAGGCTCTTGCTATGTAGCTCTGGCTGGCTTCTTAGAATCCTCCTGCCTCAGCCTCCTGAGTACTAGGATTACAGGCATATTCCACCACACCCCAATAAATGACTCATTATAACTAGTCATCTCCTTGCCTCACATGTAGAACTACTCTTTGTAGTACTCATGACAACACTGAAGAAGCATTTATAAGCAACACTGGTGAGGCTAAGGCAGTACCTCCAGGACCGATCTAGGGCATTGTGACCTTTAAACAGGATTCTGGGAGAATCATGTCCACCAAAGATAGATATAAGCTAGCTGTAGTGACGCACACCTTTATTCCCAGTACTGGAGAGGCATAGGCAGGCAGATACCTCTCTGAGGCAGGCAGATCTCTCTCTCTGAGTTCGAGGCCCACCTTGGTCTGCATAGTGCCAGGATAATACAATGTAGAGAGACCCAGTTTCTAAAAACAAAACAAAATAAGAAAGACTGATATAACTCTTACATAATTTAATAACAATTTGCCCAAACTAAGAAATGGAGATTGTGGTAGTGAGCTGAACAAAATGCATTCTGTAATCAAAGATTCAGTGAAGCTATATGTTATCAAAGACTCGCAAAAGAGGATATACTGTGGCTAAGAAGGTAAGTATGGCTTCATGAATAATCACCAAACTAGAGATGAGTTGAAGAGCATGATGATATAACTTAAGAGATAATGTTTCATTCAAAAAAATTTGATTGTTCTAGAATTAACTGAGTTAAGGGAAAAGTGCTCCCGATCACACAAAACATGAACTACAACTACAGTTTTTAATATGAACGTTGTTAGAACATTCCAAAGCAATAAAACTAATCCATGATATATAACACACAGAAGGCATAGAAGTAAAAAATGTAAAAAACTTAAAAATAACAGTGTACTTGAGAAGAAAGTAAATTTGTTAGTTCTTTTCTATTAAGCATTCCTCAAGCAACACAAAAACCAGAGTTCAAACTACACTTTGATGTGCAGGTCCTTTGGGAGCTCTTGTGCCCTGTTTTATATGAAGCATCTACAGCTACAATGAGCGCCCACTGAAGAGCATTGCTGGTCTGACATTGCTTTAAACATGCACAGTCAGAAATTAGCTGTGGCTTACAGTAACAATTACCTTCATCATGATGAAAAGGTCTTGGTGTAAGGTAAGGGAGGCAGTTTTCTTCAGCAACCCACTCCTTTAAAAAGCAAACTTCAAGACTTTCATTAAAATAGGAAACGGTTTACTATTTAGTAAAGATACTTCAGATTCATGAAACAGATCCACAAAAGAGGGAAAATGGGAAAGTTGGAAAACAGAAGAAAAGGAGAAAAAACAAAAAATAAAGACCCAAAGACCAAGGAAAAACATTATTAGAAATGTGTTTTTAAACAAGTAGAATAAATTGTTTACTTTTGTATATGTGACATAACCAATGAGTCTCTTACCTGTACTTTGAAAAATCTAGGTAAAACATTAAGAATAATTGCTGCATTAGGTATCCACATTAGGCTTTTATTCCTTTCAAGGCAGGGTCTACTACAGCTCAGGAGAGCCTCCATCTCACTACATAGCTGGATATCACCTTCAATGTCTGCTCATCTAGCGGTTGCTTCCAGAGTACAGGCATAGTTCATCCACACCTTGTTTCCAGGTCTTTAACTTTGACAGCATGCTATTTCTTAACACACGTTAATTTTCTACATTTTGAATATACTTTCTATCTAAATCAAGTTGAAAAAATAATATGCCTTCTCATATACACACAAGTATTAACTTACCCACCTCTAATACACAAGTACATCAGTGAACTCAACAGGCATTCAAAATAAGAATTTAACACAATTTCACAACTAGTTCAATTTGACCTGTTTTATTCATATTTGTGTCACAACATGTGACTGAAGCAAGTGACTTTAATGAAAGTATCACATCCAAGGTACACACGTGGTAAACTCAATTTTGACTCCAAGTCTGTTGGATTGTAATCATTCTTGCTTTCAATGATAGAGCTTTCCCTAACCTTCAACTCAGGGCACTATTCTCCATTAGTGGCTTCCTGAATCAGCACTGTTCTGATTGAAGCCTGGACAGTTTTCTTTGATTTTTTTTTAAATCACTGTATCTTATAAAATATATGATAGAGTTGCTGAGTCACACCAGTTAGAAATATTTTATTCTTGAACAATTTCATACAATTATACAGTGTGCCTTGATCATATCCACCCAGTCTCTCCTCCTACCCCACTCCCCTCACACTCCCCTAGCACGTGTCCCTTGACCAGACCCTCGGCTGGTACACTCTTTCTAGCAGACCATTAAGAAATTCACCCCGTTCAAAGCAGAACAGTCTGTAAAATGTTCCAAGTCACCAGACTCAGATAGTACAACAGAATATTTGCATCAGACTATATTATTAACTAAGGATTAAACATTAACAAAGAAGCAGTCTGCTTAGGCAATGGCTCCTGTATACCTGTCAAAATCAATTCATGGCCGATATAATCTACGCACACATCAGTGCACGTTGCACATATGTATGTATTATAAGAGATCTAGGTGGACCACAGGACAAAGTAAACTAGGATGGGGGTCATTTTTCCTATGGTGTGTGGCAGACGGTAGGTTGCCCATGCTGACGCTGCCAGCACAAGTTGGACTCAGTGGGTTAGAAAACAAGAGGAGGACACAATGATGGGATGGGAGGAGAGACTGGGTGGATATGATCAAGGCACACTGTATAATTGTATGAAATTGTTCAAGAATAAAATATTTCTAACTGGCGTGACTCAACAACTCTGTCATATACTTTGTAAGATACACTTATAAAAATACATCAAAGAAATCTGTCCAGGCTCCAATCAGAAAAAATACAAATTGTGTGAGTGAGACAGAGAGAGAGAGAGAGAGAGAGAGAGAGAGAGAGAGAGAGAGAGAGAGAGAGAGAGAGAGAGAGAGAGAGAGAGAGAGAGAGAGTGTGCACGCAGGTGCTGGTAGGGCCTTAACTTGGGCCTTGGGTATGCTAGGCACATGTTCTATAACTGATCTATACTTCTAGCCTGACTTGCTCTTTTAAAATTCATTTTTTCTTATATTCCTAAACAATTACCTTATGTTTAACCTACTTAAAAGTATTAGCAAGTAGTTATTTTTAAAGTCTGAGTAATTCTACCAAAAGCAACTCTCATATTTGCCCAAAAGAAGGAACCACTCCTAAGAATCAAAGCCTGGTAATTCTGTTCTCAACAGACAGGTGTGTGCTCAGTATGCTATATGAAAATCATTTATGAGAAGAACAGGAAAAAATTAGAAGGTAGTTTTCCCTATTGAAACAAGTAAGTGATTAAGCAGATTTCCAACAGCACAGAGCTGTCAGCAGGTTGAATGACTGTCTGAGAAATGTCATTTCAGATGTTGACATTATGTATAGCTTTTAAAGACAGTGATGGAGTCCAACAGTGACAAAGAAACCAAGAAATTAACTGGTCAGTAGGGATGATTATGAATATTAAGGTTAAAGAATGAAAATTCTCTACACTGACTAAAACAGAGTTGCTAAGATCATATTTAGGGTAGTGGCAAATCAGGAACCTGGGCCATCAGATGTCTGTGAAAGCAGGAGAACTGAATTTAGTCACTGAAACAGTAAGACTGGCCACTTACTACCAGAGTATATAATATCAGGAATAAACACTCTCACAGATTTGATTATGCGGACAGCTTACTGTTTTGAGATGTTAAATACTACCAATCAGCCCATCACACACTTCTAGTAACATTTTAAGCTGTCTTACATTTAATATAAGTATCATCAGTCAATTTTAAAAACTGACCAATTCCAGCCTCACTTATTCTTACTGTATCTACTCAAATTCTCAGGAAGGAGAAGTAAAGTTATCATATTATTGGAAGAGAAGGAAATAAATACCAGAAGCTGATACTTGGTGTGTATGCTGTGTGTTTTATGAAAGTAGCAAAAATACTCTTACTTTTAAAAACTTTATTATTGTGTGAGTTGTGTGTGCATGATGTGTGTGGATGCAGGTGTACATGTGTACATGTGTGATCTGGCATATGTGTAGTGGTTGGAGGACAACTCTTAGGAGTCTGTTCTCTACTTCCACCTCGTGTGGGCTCTAGGGAACAAACTCTGGGTGCCTGGCTTACAGGGCAAGCGCTTTTACCAGCTGAATCACCTCATCTGCTCCCAAACACTGTTTCTACCAACCAACCAAGAGATTCTCAGTGAAACTGTTTAAACCAGCTTATTCACAATTCTTTTAAGATGAGATACTAATGACTGAGGCTTTAAGGTTCCTTCACATTATCTCTCACACATAGGTATAAGCAATAACATTCAATCTATTCCTAAAATTGATCTTAAAGCAATCAATAAAAATTGACTAATTGGTAAACAAAGATCTTTCTGTAATGAAGAAGAGGCCCCACAATTTTAGCTATGTTTTAATTTCTTCACATTTTTCTGTGACCTTTCTCTATTGAAGACAATGGACTGAAGGTTAGAAGCTACAGAATGGGGGAGTAACACCTGTGTGTACACAATGAATACAATTTCAAATGAGAAGTAATAATAAGGCTAAGAAAGCAAAAGAAATGAACCCAACAGCCTATGAAAGAGAACACACTGAGTGAAGCTCCACTGTCTCCATCGAAGCCCAGGCTTTCTAATCACCAGATGGATGAACCCAGTGAATGTCAATGACCAGATCTCTCAGTGATCTCATCTGTGTACAAAACATGAGCACACAAGAGAATAAACACATATAGAATAGTTAAAACAGAATCCAGGTCTCAAAAATACAAAACAAATGTTAGCAATTTCTGTTATTCATATATAACTTGCTTTCCTTAAAAATGTTTTCATAAGAAGTAGTTTAACTCTAAACCATGTGAGATTAAATACATTAAAAACTTGCTGTGTTGGACTGCCCCCTGCAGGCCTCAATTTACCTTCTTATTTTAAGAGGAACATAGAGAATATAGGATTCACGTATGTTAAAAAAACACTAAGATCATAATTCACTCACTCATAATGATAGGATGCAGCTTTTGAAACAACTATCAGCTGTTTACTGAATAGAGAAAAACTACATACACCTCTGTCTGTAGTGTATGCAGAGGGGTAAACTCAATATCACAAGGCCAAGTTAAGACCTGCTATCAGGTCATCACTTCCGCCATGGCAAAGGTGTGATACCCAAGATTCAGGACAGAGAACAAAGAACTAACCACCACAGAGCACCTCTTTTCACTATAGAGCGGAGAAATTAAGGAAGACTTGCTAGAGAAGTGATGTTTGAGGTAAGGTCATGGGCACTGTCTATTTCTTTGAGAAGTAAACAGGGCAAGAAAATAAAACAGCAAAGCTTTGAACAATATCATGTGATGTTATCTGGGTAGTGGGTAGCTATATGTAACATCA